CCGCGGGCGACGCCTGTGCCGGCCGTCACGTCCCATTCCGCTCGCCGGGCCGCCCGGTGAGAGAAGGACACAGGATGCGCCGGGAGTGAAAGAGCGAGGTCGGCGGGGAGCGTGCCAAGTCCCCGCGCACAGCTCCGGGCCGCTCGGGGAGCCAGAGGGAAACTCGCCTTTGCAGAGTTCAGAGGCCGGCAGCGAGATTTATTTTTGTTTGTGTGAGTAAAAGGCTGCAGAAGCCTCCGGCCAAGGGGTTTCGGGGGGGAGAGGAGTGGCCTGTGATTCATGGGGATGCTGGCTGGCCCCGCGCCAGAGATGAAAGGGAGCCCATGTGCGGGGAACCGGGGAGGCGAGCGCCACGTTAACCCTTCTGTCGGTCCATGGGGCACGGTCCCGTGGGGAGGAAGGAGAGAGTGGAGATGTGGATCGGGATGCCCACGTCTGGGGCCCGGCTTCTGTGCCGCCACCGCTGCCAGAAACGAGCTGCCGGTCCCACTGTGCCTCAGTTTCCCTGACGCGAGGACAGGGAGACGGTGGTCCGCGTGCCCTGCCGGGAGGTGGGGTTTGGAGAAGACCTTGGGGAGAGCGGCGCGGTTAAAACAGTGGAGGTACAGCCTCGCCCTGGCCCAAGTGCTTTAGGACAGCCGGTTTCAGCCTTGTCTTATTGGGGTTAAACACGCTGCTTGGCTCCATGGCAGAGCGACCCTGCAGTGCTGGACGTGGCAGGGGACCTCTGAGGCCAGGGGCTCTCTGCTCCTCCCGGGGCCGGGCAGCTTCCCCTCTCCTGCCTCCTGCACCCGCACGCTGCGGCAGTCAGAGCTGCTACCACCCGCAGCCCCCTGCCCGGCCTCCTGCTCCGGCCATGGGGGCTTCTCCCAGGAGCTGGGCTGGAGCCGGAGGTGGCTCCCCCGGCTGCCCCAGCTGGTGGCAGCACTGAGATCAGACACTCCTGCGTACACAGTCCCAAATTCCCAGCTCATCCATCAGCTGGGATCACCTGGAGGATTCCCCGGAAGCCGCTGCCCGGCTGAGGTCTTCCAGTGTGGACAGGGGACAGATCCCCCTGAGAGCCAGGCCAACAGGCGCTATTTTCTGCAGAGGGCCAGGGGGGAGACCTGAGGGTCTCCACCACACGCGCAGAATAGGAGGGGGCTCCCCATCGGCCCCCCAGAGCTCCGCACACAGACCCCAGAGCTCCTCTGCCCGCAGTGCCGGGCTGGCGGAGAGGCCCAGAGCCAAAGCCTGGCAGAGACGAGTGCCCAGCCGCCTTTGGGACGGGTCGTACGGGTTCACGCCGCTCTGCCAGGACAGATGGGCCGTCACCATCCTGCCACCACCTCTCCTGCCCCAACCCGCTCGCCAACCGCAGGGAAACCCGGTGCCGCTGCCCCTTCCAGCCCCGTGTGCTCTGCGGGGATCGGAGGCGGATTTTCCAGGGCTGAGAACAATGCCTCTCTAGTCTCCGCTCGAGGGCTTCCTCCTCCCAAGGTTCGTCTCCAGCATCTTCCTCAGGAGTAAACGTGCCCTGTGCCTGGTAGCAAACCGGGGCCGCCGCCGTGGCGGAGCCGCCGTGGGTGGGTGTGCGTCTTCCGCAGACAGCAGGCACCCGCTCCTTCCGCAGCCAGCAGGCACCCGCTCCCAGGCACAGGTGCGTGGGCGCGTGTGCACCCGCAGCATTGTTCCTGCGCGCCGAGGAGAGCGTGAATGGGATACGGCTATATTTAGCCACTTACTCACACTACCGCCACAAAGGAGCGGCTGCATCTTAAGGGGGCGGCCGTTCCGTGGGCTCAGAAGGGACAGGAGAGAGGCTATTTTGGGAAGACATGTCATAATTGGCCGCCCCGGTTAAGCTGCTTCTGTAATGCTGAGCAAAACAATAGCAGCATCCAGAGGAAGAGCCTGTTATGTTTCAGGTGGGATGTTTTCAACCGGTCAGGAAACTCGACCGCTCCCAGCGCACAGCGGCGGCACAAAGGACAGGGGATGCTGAACAGCATGGACCAAGGGCCTGGCCAAGCGGCGTGGGCGGCTGGGAGCGCGCGGCAGGACCTGGAGCTGGCTGGGGACACAGCCCTTGCCAGAGAACGCTGCCTGCCCCTGCCGCACCACTGCCGCCTCCTCTTGTCTTCCTGCCTGCCCCGC